CAGCAGGAAAATTCAGTGATTCAGAGGGTGTTTTACTGCAGGCCAAAGCAGTTCATGCTTGCTGATGATTTAACCCCTGCTGGGTTTGTGTAGCTGAGTATTTATGGGCAGATTTAATGACAGCATCCTTCTAAGCTCAGGGCTAGGAGTGATGGTGACTGAATCTGTGTTTTCCTCCTTCTGAAAATCCCAGACCACCAGCTGAAGACTTGTCTGGGCTGAGGGCATCTGCTGTGGTGAAGCTGTGGCACAGTGCAGAGAAGAATACGCAGGACAGAGAGATGCACAAAGGATCTGGCTCATAGCATAGGTCTGAAGAGCCCTCTGGGGGTGGGAAACACTCCCATCTAGCACTAAGATCATGTTGTTGTATTTGAACAAAAGTTGCTTTTTTCCAAAATGGAAACTTCCGTGGGAAACAGTGCTTCAAGAATGGGGTCTCCTTCCCTGGAACCTCTAACCTCCCTGACACCCACAGCTGACAGCTTCTAGGAGCATGAGCAAAAATCCCTTGCCTGTACAAGCTGTCCTGCGTGTGGACACGCGGGGACAAAGCTGGTGTTTAGAAAAGTCACTGAATGTTTCTGAAAGCTGCAAACACTGACTGTTGGTGAAGAGATTAAAAGTAGCCGGCAGAACAGAAGCGACTGATGGACAAAGGCACTAAAGGAGCCTTCAGTTTCCACATGCTTAGAAATGGAAAAACTACTCTGGGTAATCCTGTGTCTACAGTAAGGATGGACTGGAGATCCACAAGGGATCCATTTTCAAGGGAACTTTAGCCTTATTTCCACTGCTTCATTCAATAATGAGCACGACTCTGGGAGCACAACTCGGTGTGATCTCAGCATTGCGGTGTCAGCGCAGGCAGGGAAGGGCCCCATCGGCACCTCAAAAAGCTGCACAATGGATTGATTGGCTGGGGCTTCAAAAGGGCGGTGGGGTTTCTTGTTTCCAAGTCAAGACAAATGCACTTCTCTGTTACTTTTCTATTTCTAGGAGACACTACACTGAATTGTATTCCCAGTTACCACACTGAAACTGGAGGAAGGTAAAGGGCAATAACTGAGAGGCAAAACCTTCAACAATCAATGCAAAAATAAAAAACAACCAACAGGCCTTTGCTCTACCTGTTGCTAAGGTGCAGGGCCAACATCACCCATTTACTTTATGTCAAACGGACTTAAGGAAGGCAAAAAATCGGTTTACTGCTGTCTTAAGGCACCTGGTCTAATATCATTATGTTTTGCCCAATCCAATAAGAAGTGCAAATCCCAGTATATTGCTGAAATCTGACCTTGTGCATTAGGAATGGGGCTCTGCACCAGGCAGCCACTCCTGAGCAATGGGAGGGGGCTGCTTCCAGAGGGGGCTGCCTGGTGCCCCACAGAGGACCCTCATTTTGGGATTAAAAAATTACTCAAAAAGGAGAGTTGTGTTCTCTCTTAATCACCTGAATAAAGTTTGCATTAGTTTAAAAAGCAGAGGTTTGAGGTCTCTTCTGCTGCTGTCACTGACCTCTCCATGTCTCTCCCTCGCCTGCCTTTCCAGACACGTGCCAGCAGCTCCAGAGCAGTGCTCCTGGGAGGTGGGGTACAACTGCCCATGAAATAACCAGCATATACTATTTGAAAAATGTTTTTATGCTTCACCTCTAACAAAGTTGATTGCATTTTCCATTTCACCTCCTTCACAGCTTTTCTCTCTTCCTTACGTATTCTGTGACAGGGAAATTACCATGGTTTCCCATTTGAGGGTGGAGGGAAAAATTGAGATAATCTGGAAACAAGTGTGTAACAGGCACCCACAGACACAGGAGCAGGGCTCTTGACTTGTTGGGTCAGGCTGTTGAGCCTCCAGCCCTGCAGCAGCCACTGAGGCCTGTCCTGCAAAGTCCCCACATCCAAATGAATAAACAGTTCATTTGATTGCAGTGGAAGCACTCCTGCTCCTACAAGGCTTCATGGCTTTCCAGGTAGAACTGATGCTCTACCAACAACTTAAAGCCCCTTCCAAAAGTGCTTGCATGCAGCAACCTCCTGGCACAGGCACAAAAGTCTGCCTGCTCCCAGCCCCAAGGGCTGTGCCTCAGCAACAGCCACAACTGCCTGCCAAGGTGGTTACAAAAAAAATATTTTGCAATATATGTAAAATGCATATGGCAAGATTCAAAATCAGTCACTAAAAGCCAACTCTAAGGTATTTCCTTCTACCTCCCTTTGGGAGCAATGCCACCAGCTCCCTGCTCCAGCAGCCTTGTGCCTCTTCTTGGGTCATGGGCACAAGACAAACCCAAATCAGAAAACCAAGAGTTTTCAGCAAAACATTCAGTGCCAGTACTTCATTTCATTAATCTGAGACTGGGCTGTGATTACCATGATGTAGGACAAAAGAAATCAAGCTACAAATTTAATGACTCTATCTTTTGTTTTGCAGATTTCATGCCTTCAGTAAAACAACCAGGCTTTGCTGAACTGGATGCTTGGGGTCTGACTCAATTTCTGCCTGACTCAAGGACCTAATCTCATAAATAGAGCTGCCAACACTATAGCATAAGCTTGTTCTTCATTTAAAAAATGCTGACTGGTGTTTTAGGAGCTAATTAATTTTATAGTCAGAGAAGTCTAAAGATAATGGCCCCTCCTATTCATCTCAGAGAGAAAGAGAGAGAAAGAGAGGGAATGAGAGAGCAATTACTGTGTAAGAAATAAGTGCAGTTAGGAATATTGTATTCTTGGGATGCAAGTCAAGTGATTTAAGTGGGAGTACTGGTAGGCATGCTCAGGCACCTTTGAACTGTGTCACTTATTGACTGAACAGAACAGTTATTAATTAATACTGTAATTAATTAATAATATAATTAACTAATAAAAAATAAGAATTTCAACTGTTTGTGTCATGGCCATCATGCAAGTCTGACTCTAATTTTCCAGCTGCCGCCACCTCTGTGGTTGCCTCCATGCTGAGGGTTGAACATGCCAGTGGGGAGAGGTGAGGCTGCCCAATCCTCCTGGAGACACGTCCCCTGCTGCCTGACCTGCCCACACCTTGTGCCAGGTACGTGTCCCTGCGCCTGGTTTGGGGTGTGTGCACACTGTGAGCTCAGAAAAATCTGGCCAGGAGAGCTTTTAGGTAACATCTCAGAAGACAACATAGGAAGTTAGTAGAGAGGAGAAGGCTAATGACAATGGAGAGACACAGCAAACCAAGGAGTTTACAGTCAGCCTAGCAAACCACTACTGGACCAGCGAAGCCAGTAGACAACACACAGGTGAGGCAGAAAGCAAAGAGCTCCTTCAGCTTCTGCAAAAAACAACCCAGTGCCTGCACAGAGCAGGGACAACTCCACCTGGAACTGACTATAGCCCAGAAGTGATGAGTTCTTTCAAAACTCATTTACAGGCCTAGGTGTGCCATGGTACTTTGGTAACAAATCAAAGTCTATGACTTTGTGAAGCTTTGGAAAACTTGAAAAATGACCTCTCTGACTTTCCCTCTGTATTTAGTATTTCAAAACCTGCAGCTGCAAGACTTATTGTGAGACATAATTAACACTGGTTGTTTTGCCAGTTGAGACTGTGTTTAACATCTAGCATGGCATTTATTACTTGGCTGTAGCCTGCCTGGGTGGGGAAACAAATCTGATGTTAAGAGAGCTGTGATGTCTTTACCAAGAGACTTTATTTCCTAGAGCTGATGCTACTGTGCTCCTTAAAAAGTTAGAGGTAGCCCCAGGAAACATGAGCATCCCCTTTCCAAGAATAGGAAAGGGGTAGATCCCTCCCCATCTACAGTATTTTAGCCATCTTTCCTTCTTTGCTTTGGGAGACTGGCAATTAGCAGAACCCCTACACATCTCCGCACTCACTCCCATTTCAGCCTGAGATAAACAACTGAGAGAGATTCCTGCCCCCAGGGACAGCTTCTGGACATCAGACTGGAGACACGAGATCAAATTCATCTCTGGTGAAATTCCACTGGCTTCAGCCACATCAAACCAGAGATTAATTTGGCCCACAGATACATTAAGAAAGGATACAAAGCACAAACGGTATTTTATAAAAAAAGAGGGGAGGGGGAAGTTGAAGGGGGATGCTGGATCCTAACCCAGCAGGATTCAGCCCAGCCCGCTCCACCCTCACATCACCAGGCACAGTGCGTGTTGCCGGTTACCTTTTTGCTTACTGACTTTCTTTACTGTCATTGCCGCTTGACGCTTTTGATTTTCAGAAATTTCAAAGCCTGAAAGAGGGAACATGGCAAAGATAATTCAGAAGATTGCTCACAAAGCCTCTGCTTCATCTGGGGAGGGGGGAATATTCTGCACTGGTTGGCAAACGGGGCGCCCTGGGTGGCAGAGCAGCCTCTTCCTCGAAAGGACAGGGCTCTATAATCTCACTTGTGCAGGGGCTACATGAAAAGTAAGATTAGACCCGTTATTGCTTATACAGTATCATAAATATGCCCAGTGCTTTATAGCTGAGCAGCACAAACTGAGCCTGAACTGACATGGGTTACAGTCAATTTATGGGCTGACGCAGAGGGCAGGGACAGCTGATAAGTCACTGACTGTTGTCCTCCTACCCTGCATGAGACGTGCTTAACCAGAGCAGAAACAGTGTGGCCAGGAGACTCTGAAGTCAAGTGGCCAAAGACTTCCTGCTCCCAGAAAACCCACAGAGGTCCAGGCTTGAAGCTATGGGCAGAATTTCTTTACTGAGGGCCAAAAATACCAGTAAATAATTGGAAAGAGACCTGTTTATAACTATGAAAGCAACCAAGGACATTTGCATGAGACTGAATTTTAAGTCTCCTACAAAAAATTCTCCAATAGTTGGGGCTAAATTAAGCATTACCAACAATCTCCTTTCAGATTTATTTCATATTCCTCACCTATCTTTTCATCTTCTTTTACCATCTTCCTTTCTTCTCTGAAAGCTCTAAGCCATCGTAACTTCTCCTCCAGTTTCTTGGCAAAGAATAAGTGCATTTCCTCAGTCTCCTTGTTATGAAGTTTGAAGGCATTCTTCATGCTGACATTGAAGTCATCATCCCTCCCATCTTCTATATCCACCACTTCGTATTTATCCATGTCTATGCGACCTTTGTAATACAGAATATCTCTTCGTATCAGATCCTACAGAGAAAAGGAGAGAGAGGTTGATCATAAGATACTCACAGAGCCTGAACTCAGCAGCAACGGTGAAACCTGGCGAGACTCCTCAAGCCTCACCTGCTGTGAATACCTTTGTTGCTGGCTAAACAAATAGGGTAAATCACAGACACGAAAGAACAAAATACAAATCCTCATGTTGCAAAATCTTTCTGTTCCCAGTGAAGTGCTGAGAAAAGGCTGTGAGCATCACACTACACTTGTTCAGATAAATCAATACTGTGCCCTGTGTTTCAATTTGAGCCTTGGACTAGTTCTTACACATAGTGTTCATCTTCACCATGTTCTCAAAAAACTTGGTAACAAGTCTCATAGGAAAAAAGATACGCTCCTCAAATTAGCTAAACCAGCAAGGATTCTCCTTCCCAGACAGGGAGAACAGACTCATTGCTGATAAAAACTTCCCACACACAACACTGAACAGCCTGTCCTTGCAAGTGAGATAAGTGAAATGGGATCAAACATACTTTTCCATGTAACATTCATTATTATGCATAGATTTGTTTATAAAAGGTATTATAAGAATAAATAATCACAACCCTCTGTCTCACCTGGCTCTGAAAATGCAGGGCACTGCATTAGCTTTTTTCTTACACACAGTACATTTTTTTCTCTCCGATTTTCATTTAGAAAACATTACAAGCTGTTTTTAATAGCTACTGCTAAGTGAATGTTTTAACAGTTTTGTGCTGTCATTATACTTGGAAAGGACAACACCTGGGGTTTGGTCTGACCCAGCTGCTCCTCACATCTCCCCTCCAGGGACAATCGCTGCCTCCCATGAGACTTCTGCAGAGCTCCCTGCTCTGCAGGTGTTGCTGAGTAGTGGATGTGAAGATAATGGTGTTGCCTAGGAGTTACTGAAGGAGCAGTAAGGAGGTAATGGCATCATACAAGTGCTTTTGGAAATCAAATGGCCCCATGGAATATTATTATTGGTGAGAACACAACAGCAGGATGGAACAAGCACAGGTCTTCAGTTTCCTTCCTGCTGCCACAACAGCAGCACCACTCCCCACCCACTGACCAGGAACTCCAGCACCCATACCCCAAGTTTTAAAGAAACCCTTTAAAGCGGTAGAGCACGTAAACATCTCAGTGTATAGCATGTCTGAACACTTTGCACACACCTGCTTTGGAGAAAATTCAGTCCATGTACCGGATTAATAACTGTAACTGGATACTGTTAGTTTTTATATGTTAGGGACTTCCTACTCCTTGTCCTTCCTTCACCCCTTCTTCCCAACACTCAGTAAATGGGTCTTATTTCCTAATTGACTAAATTTTAATACCCATTATATGGGAAACAATGATTACTTGATCTGTGGATATTTTATTGCATATACTCCTACAGTTCTTAAAGAATAACATACATTACTTGACTCCCTGGTGAAGCACAGCCAATGCACTTGGCTTACACTGTCACTGATTTTGGTAAGATTTAGGAATTCATCTGGGCTACACGAGAGATGTTTAAACAGGCTGGAGCAAGTACTACATGCAAATTCATTTACACCAAATGGAGCTATCAGCTACACAAGTAGCCACAGTGTTGAAAGGAGCTGAGGCTGAGGGCAGCTGGGCCAGGCTGCTGCTATTACTCCTGGTTATCCCAGGGGTAACATACAAGAGAACTAGGGAGAAAAATATATACAGATTTTATCTTTGTTTATATGGTGACTATGCTAGGATAGTGTTCAACACGATCCTGTCCATAGTTAAGCCAGGATGACAACTAGCTGGGCTGCACTGTCCAGTTTTGAAGGTCATCCAACATTATTTTTGTAGTTAAATCAGAGAAATGCAGGAAAACACAAAAAGATTTAAAAAGACTCTCAAAACAGATCAGTGGGGAAAGGCCAAAGAAATGGAGATGTTTAATCTAGAAAGGACAAAGAGGAGGGAGTGTGCTATTGGTGTTCCAATATGTGAAAGCTGCTTCTCTTCTAAGGAGGCTGGTGATCAATTCTTCTCAATTTTGCCTGTGGCTTGGGCTTAATTTACCACAAGGGAGCATTAGATTAGATACATGGAAAAAAAATATTTATAGCTGTAAGAGTAGTTAAATACTAGAACAGACAAAACAGGGAAGTCTTGGGACAGCATTCCATGGAGATTAAAAAAAAATAAGGTTAGACAAACAGCCACCAGAGATGAGCTGAGTGTACTTAATCCTGTGAAGGCAACAGCCAATCTCCCAGGGCCCTCCCAGCTCTGCATTCTGATGGTGTCTAAGAGAAAGGTGACAGATGGAGGAGAAAATGGGATGAGAGCAGGTAGGATTCGTACAGATTAGGGGTGGGAGAAGCCCCAGGACACAGCCCAGGACACAAGCACAAGGAGCAGTGACAGGAACCTGCAGGCTCTGCAGGCAGCATCCAGATTGCATCGTGTGGCTCTTCAGGAAATTGATGCATCTGGGTCATTTGCACTTATTTGTCCAAATATGATCTTTTTTTACCCTACAGCTTCTGCGATTTCCTTTTCTCTCCCTAGCTGAGGTTAATTAAGCTCTTCTGAATAATACTCTGCAGTCTGTTCACGTAATATGTACTAAGGATTCACAAGGAAAAGCAGCAGCTAAAAAAAGTAATATTTGATGGGAGCACAAAACAAAGTTTTGACACGTTACGTAAACCAAGCAGGACTCTGCTCTCTGCGTTTGCTCTGTGGGAGCTTTGCAGCTGCAGTGGCTGTGCCTGAGGTGGTGGCTGTGCTCAGGGGGTGTACCTGTCTGTGTGACCTGCTTGGGCCTCCTCCTGCTCTCAGTCTGACTTAAATCTCCCCATGTCACTGGTGGGGGAGGTGACTTTCTCTAGCTGCACTTGAAAGAAAAATAAACCTCGTTTGTGACCATCATAAGGAATCCAAGTCTGGCCTTTTACTGGAAAACCTGAAGACCTGAAGTTGGATGCAGCTCCCACCACGAATTATGTACTTCCCACTGCAGTGGATATGGATAGCTGCAGAAAGGATTGCACCAGTAAATCAGACTGTTCAATAACTCTTACTATTAAACTGGCTTCTGCTTGTCTTCACCACTGCTTTCTCCTCCTGCTCTTCAGCTTTCATCAATCTCTTTTCTCCTGCCATGAGTACCCCAGGCCACAGCCCTGCATGCTGAGCACTGCCTTTGCACAGCTTGGTTGTGCAAGGCCCTGTGAAGGGTCAGACCCCCCCATGAGGCTGCAAGGAAATACAATATTAATGACAAGAAGGAAAGTCTACCCATGCAGTCGATTGCTTGTGTCAATTGGTATTGGAATTAAAAGCTACTGAAGGGCTTAAGTAGCACATAAGGAGGAAAGGTTCCCCTCCATCAGAGGGCCCAGCTGAGCACTTGGAGGACCTGGTGTGTGTCCCAGGTAGTTTGTTCTGTTAGCTGTTGTGCAGCCATCTTCATGAATTTCAGAAACTCCTATTTATTTCTTAGTGCGTGGTGTGGGTAGATGGAGAGGTCCTAAGCAAGGGTTATGATTTTAGGATGGCCCGTTTTTTTTTCAAGTACTATGGTTTACTCTGTGCTAGGTCACACTCTGCTTCTCATGTGTAAAACAAATCATCTGTAAAACACGAGTGAAGAAAGAGCCATTTCCAGCCATGAGTCATTAGATCCCTCTTTACGAGCTGACAATAGAAAAGATGCCATCCACAGAACAATCCATTACAAGTTTCTCATTGCACATGTAGGTTGTTGGCCCTCCTGGTTATCAAAATCTTGCATATTCCAAAGGCAAAGTAGCTTCAAAATGACTTGGAGATTACTTATGCACTCTGAGCACATGGATACAGCCTGATCTTCCCAGCACAGCTCCTGGAGCTTGCAGGGCCTGGCTGGGGCCCCTGGCTGAAATGAATTCCTCCCTCAGTCCTTCCCCATCTCTGTAATGGGATAATGATATTTGCTTCTTCTACAGGGCAGCTGGGAGCTGTGAATAAGTAATCAGTGAAAGACACATTGAAAGCCTCTGATGGGGGATCTTTAATAGCTCAGAGCCATCTAGGAACAGCTCAGTGTTCCAGGAGCTGTGGAATTGGAGCTGGCAGAGCAAGAGGAGGTTCCGCTGGGGGCAGGTTTCTCCCCTCAGTCCACCCTACCCAAGGTCATGGTTTAGGGTGACAAATGTCACTGGTGATGGAACAGCCCCTGTAAGCATTCAGGGACTGGAAATACCACCCTGCATACACACAAAGCACAGCCAGGGCTTGCCTGAAACAACTCAGTTGAAAGGTACTGCAGAAAACACAGCAAGGGAGCAGGGTGCTTGGTGTGAAAAGCAGCAAACCCTGCAGGCTGTTTTTGCCCAGAGGATGATGTGTTCTTCAGGTATCCAAGAAGAATGGGGACCCAAAGATGTGGCCAGCTCTGCAACTTGGTGAATAGTTGATATTGACAGTTAATGAATAGATGATACTGAAATGGGAAAAGACTAAATCAGAGTCCATAATAATTGCATCCAAACTCCAACCCACTGGAAAAGGCTCAGTTGTCTTTTGCACAAAGGTTTGGGTCTCAGACACCTCTCTGAGGACTTCTCATTGACCTGAGCAGGGACTGCAGAGCAGAATGGAAGAAGAGGGAAGGAGCAGATTTTCATTTTACTCCTGAAATTTGTCCTGATTTTCCTGTCTGCCTGCTCTCTGTCTTCATTCTGCCCAGCCTGCCGTGAGCAATGAGGGCATGGAACGCTGCCACTTTGCCATGTCTTTGGGTATCTTTAGTCATGAGGGCTTTCAACATTCTTTGGCTTTTTAAAAAAAGATTCAGAGCCTACATTTTTAAAATCTAATTTACCTTAAAGCGACTCTTTGAAGCAAACAGCCCAGCCTGCTTTTCATGAACACCAAGGACACGGTTTTCTGTAGCATTTGTTCATTTAACTTAACCCCACTGCAGGCTGATTTTTAAGATGGGACATATAAGCACTGTTCTGCTTAACCTCCCTGGAGCTGAGTGCATTGCA